CCATAGCTGGGAACCTAAAGGGTGCTACCAATCCTGATCAGAGGCCTTGCTCCCGGATGTAGTTTATCGTCATACCCATGATGTGCCGTAATGGATAACATAATGGTGAACCACCGTACAGTTACCGTACATTTCTGTTGGTGCAGTTCCGGTTTTGGAAAGGGTTCGGGTCCTTTTTCATGATCAAGCGATCATCAGTTATCCATTTCTCATCACAAGTGAGTATTCGATCAAGAAATGGATCAAGAATTGGATGATTGGAATTTTGCAGATGCAGTATCAAAGACATCTTAAAACATCGAACTCTTTGACATTTACTATGTTCATGTAGAAGACATTTATTGTTTTTTTTTTTCTTGAGATGGTCCGATATTGTTGAAATGAGACGCTCTTTATCTGTGACATTTCTCTGACACTTTCACGTGTTCTTTTTTTTCGATTAGTGTTTTCAGATGTCGATTGGTAAAGACAAATAGTCGCTCTTTACCTATTTGATGTTTATGACTCATATCCCCACTGCGGAACTTCAAAAAATAGAGACGTAATGACCAATCACAAGTGGATCCTTCACACCATGTAAAGTGCTGTTCGATAAAAATGCATCACCTGAATTTTTTTTGCTAAATGTTCTCTTCTCCGATGAAACGAAAGTTGAGCTAAATTCAAAGGATAAGCGATCTAAAATCCGAAGAAGAAGCTTTGAAAGCTCTTTGAATTTAGCAGTAAGTACTGTCAAGCATACGTTCAGTATAATGTTCTGGGGATGCTTTTCTTTTCATGGAACTGGTTTCTTAAAACCTATTGAAAGGACCCCAAGGAGCGAGCAGTACAAGAGAATTTTAGAGTCTTGTCTGCCCCCTTCTGCTGAAATGGTGCAAACCGACCCCACCAAGCTCATTTTTATGCAGGATAATGCTCCCTGTCACAAATCAAAATTGATGAAGGAATACTTTGATGAGAAGCAGGTGAGTGTTATGACATGGACGCCCCAATCTCCTGACCCATAGAAAACTTATGGATCATTTTGCTCAACTGCTTTCTCGAGAGCCTGTACGTTATAATGCTCCATAATTTTTCTATGGGGTTGAGGACAGGAGATTGGGGCGCCCATGTCATAACACAGAACATTTAGTAAAACAATCAGGTGAGTCACTTTTATCGAACAGCACTGTATATTTATGTTGGCAGCAGTTTGAAAAGCATTATGATCACGCTTGAATTTATGCATAAAAGATTAACGTATCTCGTCTTTTTTCATGTTCCAGATGAGAGGTTTATAAAGTTTGAATTCTGAAAAGCGATGTTTTTTTTTTACTTTACCATTTTTTTTAGAGATGGTCCGATATTGTTGAAATACCGACACCCATTATCTGAGACATTTCTCTGACAGTTTCACTTGAGTTTTGTTCGACTAGTGTTTTTAAATGTTAATGTATAGGATACAGGTTCTATTCCTGTTGGAGGACGCATATTTTCTATAAAAATTTCTCGGACATTCAGGTCGGTAAATGTTCTTAATACTGTTTATTATAAACAGAGCATTTACTTCAATATTTGTATCTATAAAAAAGTATGTATAAACAAAAAAATGTCTTAAAACGCATATGTATGTATATTTCATAAGTATCCAATTTTATTAGCAAAATCGGTTGAGCAGCAAATCATTTTACAAAATTTATTTAAATTTTTTCCATTAAGAGAGTCATTCCGTAATCCAAATTAGAATTTCAATCCTGGATTTCAGCCAGGATTGAACTTGAAGTATTTTCGCGCTACAGAAATTCAAATCAGCTCTGCATCGTCTCGCGACCGGCTTTCATGTAAAGAAACGGAGAACTGTGTGTCTGTGTGTTCGTGTTTGTTCGTGTTTGTTCGCCTGTTCTGACGCACACGCGATGAAAAGGACTTTGCCCATTTCTGGCGCGATGTGATTTCTTTCTTTGTCTATCACAATATCAAAAGTGAATATCTTTTCGTGTCTGAATATATTCGAAGGCTGCAGTAGATTAATGTGCCTCACCTGAAAGACCCATGGAGTTTAAATCATCCCACCAAGACATAAAGAAACTCAATTTATATCAAAAGATTTTCATTCAATGAGGAAATTGTTTCGTGACTGAGGGTTGGGAACTTTGAGCAGAAATTTCGATCTCATTCACTCTCTTTCCATATCTATCTATCTATCTATCTATCTATCTATCTATCTATCTATCTATCTATCTATCTCAGTCTGTTCATATCTATCTATCTATCTATCTATCTATCTATCTATCTATCTATCTATCTCAGTCTTTTCACATCCTTTCTTTCTTTCTTTCTTTCTTTCTTTCTTTCTTAGTCTATTCATTATCTATCTATCTATCTATCTATCTATCTATCTATCTATCTATCTATCTATCTCAGTCTGCTCATATCTATCTATCTATCTATCTATCTATCTATCTATCTATCTATCTATCTATCTCAGTCTGCTCATATCTATCTATCTATCTATCTATCTATCTATCTATCTATCTATCTATCTCAGTCTTTTCACATCCTTTTTTCTTTTTTCTTACTTTCTTTCTTTTTTCTTACTTTCTTTCTTTCTTTCTTTCTTTCTTTCTTAGTCTATTCATTATCTATCTATCTATCTATCTATCTATCTATCTATCTATCTATCTATCTCAGTTTCATGCCTTTCTTTCTTTGTTTCTTTCTTTTTTCTTTGTTTCTTTCTTTGTTTCTTTCTTTCTTAGTCTATTCATTATCTATCTATCTATCTATCTATCTATCTATCTATCTATCTATCTATCTATCTATCTCAGTTTCTTGCCTTTGTTTCTTTGTTTCTTTCTTTTTTCTTTGTTTCTTTGTTTGTTTCTTTCTTTCTTAGTCTATTCATTATCTATCTATCTATCTATCTCTCCTAGTTTATTCAATTATCTTTCTTTCTTTCTTAGTCTATCTATCTATCTATCTATCTATCTATCTATCTATCTATCTATCTATCTCAGTTTGATAGACAAATTCCATAATAGTCATTAACAAACGATCAGCACAGTTGGAGAAACGGAAGCCATATTGTTTATCCGTAAGGAGGCCGTATGAAGGAAGATGCTTCACCAATTCGATGTTAATTGGAGCCTCAAGTATAGTGGTTTCCGACCGATTTGGGATCATGCCCCCCTTTGGTATTTTTAAAATTCTGGTGCCCCCCCCGTAATATTTAATCCTTACATATTCAAACTTTTACTGCAATTCACGTGAGGGAAGCTTAAAAGGCCATTAACTTGGTATCTAAACAAGCCTCCAAAGACCATGAAAGAGAAAAATTAAAAAAACAAAAAGGTCATTTAAATATATATATATCCCAAACAAATAATAGAGAACTGAAGGGCAGAAATATAAAATATTTGAATGAAAGTTTATTCTGTAATATACTTTGATCATTTTAATCCTGAAATAATAATGCAAAATGAAATTTGAGCTCACTAGAAAATAATTCACTATTAATATCTCATTTTCGAATTGCCGCCTTTTCTTCTGTTCTTATCGGAAGCCGAAAGGTGCACATTCTACGCATGCCCACCATTACCATGCCCCATTATTTTTAATACAACATTTTTATTACTGCAAACGTTATTTTAGTGGAGACGTGTGTTTGAAATAGACTCCCCTTTTTTATTATAAACAGTGTTAATTACGTCTATCCGTCGGCGTACTTGAGAAATCTTAAGAAATAAAATGTGCTTTACGGCTGGTTTCGAACCTGCATCTCTCGTTGTAGGAGAAACGGCTCGACCACAGAGAGCAACGTTCTATTTTCCCTTTTAAGAAATGCACACTCATTCGTTCATATTTTAAAAAGGAAAATAAAACCTTGCAAGTATTTCGCTCTTGATATGCGTTTCCGTTCATTTCTGGGTTTTGTGGGCTATTTTCTACTTTCTGCTATGGACGATTGAGTACTGTTTTCGCTGAGTTTAGGTAGGTTTCTCTTTTGGTTGCTCAATCCAGGTTTATAATTTTAGGCTTTTGCTTGTGTCATGTTTATAGTCTCTCCCTCTCTCCCCCCCCTCTCTCTCTCTCTCTCTATATATATATATATATAATTTATTTCCTTAGGATCAAAATTTTGCTCGTAATTCTTCAGATCTCCATTTTTCATACAAAAATTTGCTCTGTTTTTACATTCAGCTCTCTGGATTACACCCTCCTTGGAATTATCAGTTCTTTTCTGGGTTAGTATGGCATTTTGTACTTTCTGGTATGGACGATTAAGTACTTTCTGTTTTCGATGTCGGCTTTCATATAGGACGAGACCTCAGTGACAAATTTCTCACGAGGGTGATTAAAAATTCCAAGGAGCATCGCAAAGAAAATCACCAAATTAATTCGAATGATACCATAAAAATGTTCTGTTAATTGGTTTTTTTTTCCTGATAGGTGAACGGAAAGGGATATCTATAGACACTACCAGGTGGCCGGAGTTGCCAAGAGAACAGAGCTGCAGAGCAAGACATGAGTTCAGGAGGAGGTAAGGAAGGGATGAATTGAGAAGCCTGCACGTGAGCTCGATGTTACTATTTAATGCTGTATTTTTATTTGTAATGTTGGAGATGTAATCTCATCATCGTTGATTCTCTTCTACACTACCTGATCTATTTCGATTTTATCGTTAACTGTCAATATTTTTTTTTATATTTTATTTCATTGTTCCATCCTTGTTGATTCGGCAGTTCACTGTCCTGTCAGTTTCATTTATTTATTTATTATCTGTCTATACACATACAAGGACACATAGCACAGTGGATAAAGGCGTTAGTTAGATCCAGTGACAGGACCAAAAGAGTGTGAAGTCAATACCGGGTTAAGGCGGTGGAGAACTTGGAGAGGGGAATTAACAGGAGACAATTGATAACTAACATCCATTAGACATGGCACGTGGAACTAGAATAGTCTACCCCAGTGAGCAAAATAAAAGGTTCAGTTTGACATTCCAGCCACTTGAAATAGGCCGGGGCGTACAACAGCCGAAACGCTGTGATAAATATAGCAACAAAGATTAGGACAATGGTCCGAATAATGTAAATAATCCAGGGTCTTCTCACTCCTGCTGGAGGAGCCTCTCGCTGATTGACCATGTCTTCAGGGTCACTCTTGACTAATTGCGGTTAGTGGGGCTGTTTAACCCATAGTTGAGGTGTATTTCGTTGACTGTGAGGAGTTTATTTGCCCTTTAACAGATCTTGTTTTTTTTGTTGCTGTTTTTTGTGTGAGTGCTACTGGGATTCAACTTACACCTCTCATCAGACGAGACCATGGTCTGGTGGTGGAGTAGGTTTAGTCGTCAACCACTCGACTACTAAGGCTTTGAAATTCTGAGTTGTCCTTCTTCGAGACCATCAGTTTTATTTATTTATTAATTATTATTATTATTATTATTTCATAGTCTTTTACGTCACGACTGTTATGTCGTTAATATTGTAGTATAAGCGACAGCAAGTCATTAAAAATCATCAGCACTTTTTACAGTATTTTCACAGACCCAAATGCCGATGTAGTCTCTCTCTTTTTTGGCGGGTGTGTGCCCGCGTGTGTGGAGGAGAGGTGTTCCAAGTGTGAGGAATATTACAGGTATTACCATAACCTACACTTTCTTCTCAGTTTGCTTCTCGAACGAGTTTGTGATATTTTCCAAATTTTTCGCTGACTTTCATCTTCACTATGGTCTGCTGGAACAAGCCTTGAATTTTTTCTATTTGACTCGTTTAGATCGAGTTGCGAGTCTGGATCTCAGTGCTCAAAATTATCATAAATGCTGATACCATTTCTTTAGATTACGAAACTAATTCATTTAATTCATTCCCAGTGTAACGATGTTCCTACTCTGTCATGTCTACTTAAACATTCCTTTCGATTCTAATATGATTTTCCAGTAGATTCGAGTGTTTACAACGGTGTGGATAAATTGCTATGATGCAAAAAGTGAGAATAGTAAGTGTTGGTAATCTTAAAAGACTTTCTCTTTCTTCTTGTTTCAAATCTATGGCTAAGAGAAAAATCTAGAATGACGTTTAATAATGGGGTACCTAAAGAACTTGTAATGATGATGATGGAATATTGGTTTTCTCTGCTGAAAAGCTAACAGCTATGCGATAAGGAAAATGTACACAGACAATTCTCACAGGTATGAAGAATTTTTCAGTGCTTTTAAATAACAAGAACGCGTAACCGAAAATATCTTTTGTGTGTTCAAATCATTTACTGTTTTCACAAAAATGTTTCACACGAAAATTTATTCCGATTTTTTGATATATATATATATAAATATAAAAGTGAACATAGAAGTCAACACTTAGAGGCGACAGTCTGTTTCATGCTATATGCAATCTTCTTATGTATATATATATATATATATATATATATATATGTGTGTGTTTATTTCTGAGATGAGGTATTGTAATTATTTACACTATTTACATTGTCCGGAATGTTGTCCTCCTTTTTGTTGCCATATTCACAACGTCTCGGCCCTTGTACGCTTCGGCCTTCTTCAACATTTGTCTATATTTTTGAAATTAGGTATTGTAATTATTTACATTATTTACATTGTACGGACTGTTGTCCTCAACTTTATCGTCATTATTGCCATATTTCACGACGTTTCGGTCGTTGTACGGTCCGGTATTGTTCAGTATATGTCTATATTTCTGACATGAATTATTGCAGCTATTTACATTGCTGTCCTCATCTTTACGGTCATATTCACGACGTTTCGATCGTTATACACTCCGGGATTCCTCAGATGTTGGTTATCTTTCAAAACCCTCAGGAAATTAAATGGTATATAGCAAAGTGACATTGTGCCCACTAACTTCTTATCCATTTTCTTTCCGTGGTTCGTCTCCATGTCTTTAAGAACTGTGACAAGGGTATATATATATATATATATATATATATATATATATATATATATTCGACTCTCCCGTCGAATTCGACGTATGAGGGTCAAGCAGATCAGTTCCCAGGAAACTGACAGCCAGACAACGAGATTTGATTATGGTGATGAAGGTTTCGTGCAGGACCATCCACAGTTTTTGAAGGGCCGAATACAGAGACCTGGTGCACTAAGTGCCACAAGGTCCCCAAACGACCCTCCGCAGGTTTTGAATTCAGACTTGTCCTTCTCCTAGACCAGTTGCCATCCAAGACTATAGAACCCAATCTGTCCTGCTATTTACCCATAGCTGGAGGGAGAAGAAGAGGATTCATTGTGGAATTAACACACTTCTCGCAGTTGACTATTACTTCTACGGGCAGCTGGCGAATCTTATATGTGTTGTTCATGTCCTAAGTATTATCGTTCCTTACCAACCATCGTGTGATTATTCTATTCACTAACCTTCCCCAGGTTATATCTATCTATCTATCTATCTATCTATCTATCTATCTATCTATCTATCTATCTATCTATCTCTCTATCTCAATTCATTATCTATCTATCTGTTTTTTTAA